CAACCCATTCTCGTACAACGTGGCAGCTTTTAACCAAAGAGTCATATAAAAAATAACTTATACCAATAAAAATATATTATACCATATTTGATTCTATAATATACACAGTGTCCCAAAAGTCTGGATACATGTACAGTAATTTAATGTCTTTACGACATTGGCAGGCCAAAATAAACAATTGGAATAGGAATACAGTAAAGCCTACATTTAACAAACTAGATTTAAAGGATAAAATTTCCAGTCCTTACATCATGTGGAAACCAATCCCCTGTTAATTTTAAAAAATATTTTTATATGCATTTAGTTTTTTTTTTCAAATTCAAGAGTCACTGCTCTTAACTTTACATCACAATGGAAGTGTCAACATATCCACAGATGAATAAATAGGAAATTTGTGTGTGTATAATTTTTATTTTTAAGAACATTTGGAAAATACATATTTATTGTATTTTAAAAAATATTTTGATCTAGATCATATATTTGTTTATTACAGTCTCAGAACAATGCTGAATACATAAGCAATAATACTTAGATAGCAATAAAACTAATAGATAGAAAAAACTTTTCCGAAATTGAACTTCATACATATATAATTTTAATTGCACAAACATTAAAAACAGATTAACTGATTTGTCAATTTTTTAATAAATGCATTTGGAAAACTTATTTTATTATACAATGGACTTTCAGCTTTAACAAACACCTCACTTAAATTACTTTATTAAATCAAGGTTTCACTGTATGCACTATTATTCATGCCAAATCCAATAGTGACCATAAAGTTGACTTTAAAGGTCATTAAAAAAAAATATCTTTAAAACCATGCATTCAAGGCCAAAATATCAATTAGAAAGTTGTAGGTTTCAGTACATAAGATGTAAAGATAAAAATGAAAAAACAAGCAAAAGTTTGTTGATATCAACAATGTTTCATGCAGTGAAACATCTTTGGTTGCTTTGTCTGAGTCTGAACATTGCAGGTGCTTCACTGCATAACATCAAAATTTTACGGCAAATTATTATCACGGCACATCGTAATATATGTAAATCGTCTAACTAGTTGATGATGTGACAGGAAAGGCTTATGAGATATGCTCGAAAGAATGGATAAGAATGGTACGACTTTATGTAATAGTTAAAATTTGTAATTTTTAGATTTTAAATTTGTAAAGTTTATCAATTATTTTGCCCGCGTGGTAAAAATTAAGATAACAAATTATGTTATTGTAAAAATAAAAAGACGGCATTTATGGTAGAAACGTTACGTAAACCTATGGGTCGTCTGGTGTTCTGCTGTTATATTTGATGTCTGTATCAAAGTGAGGTATGTTTCACAAAAAATTTTATGTACGTTTTTTAGTTTTTTATTTGTGTTTGGTTGTATCCATATAATATTTTATATCTATTTAGTTGGCTGAGGAGGGGCAAATGCCCGAAACGTTGATGTATAGCAAAACGTTCTAACTGAATAAAGATTGAAACTTGCCTAGTGTTGAAGAAAAGTCACTTCATTGTGCCAGTATAGCCTACAATACAATCAAAATTTTACTCACATTTTTGGATTTTTTTTCTTCATTTTATCTTCATGTTTATGTACCAAACATCATATTCTTACTAATTTTTGTATGATCTACAACTTTGTAATTGACATTTTTTGTCTTGAATGCACGGTTTTCAAGATTTTTTTGAATGGCCTTGAAAATGTCCTTCGATATCAACTTTATGGTCACCATTGGCTTTGTTAAGTACCGTAACAGATACTCCCATTCTTTATTTTGGTCTACCATCATTTGTGGAGATATCACATGTATCTAGACTTTCAGTACACCTTTTATAATATCATACAATTTCATATATTATGTACTAGCTTACCCGTCGCGCATTGCTGCGATCTCAGAAGAAAGGAAATTCAAGCAAACTCGTTATGATAAAATTCAATTTACATTTTATCATTTTTATTGAAACTTATTATTATTCATTTTCATCGGTAAAACATTTCAAAGTGTCGTTTCAATTCTATTTATTTATTGGAGTGTTTGTGGATACACGATATTTTTTGTTTTTCCGTCTGGTGCGTACACGAATAAATCAGAAGGTTTTCCAACGTGTGAGCCGGCCACATTCAGTTGTCCATGCGAGAAGCACGGATTCTCCAAATTTAGCCCACACACTTGCAGCAATTGTCAGAAGTGCGATATTCCCCATTTATATATATATATTTTTTAATCCTTTATAATTTTAATTATTTAATTGCTCCTTCCTCTCTTCCTTGGCATGTTGTGAAGTTTCTGATAGTTGGATAATAAACCATTTTATCGTAATTTGTCCTTTTAAATTATTTTGAGTTGATATTAAAATTTGGAAAAGGGGATACCTAGATCGGTAAACTACACAAATTTCTTCCTACAACTTCGGTTGTTGTTTGGGGTACAGTTAAGCTTTTAACGAAGTTCGAGCGAATACATAATTAGCAAAAAAAAGTTGAAATAAAGTGATTAAACAAAAATTATTACAAATATCGTAAATAACAGTTCACAAATGCATATATAGAGGTATTTTTTGAAGGGGGAAATGGTCTTCACAATTTGAAATCGATCAAACACACAGTGTTCGAATGCTCATATAAACGCGCGCCATCTATCGTAGGATAAATGTACTATGCCAGAAACCTTCGCGGGAGTGTATTAAAAAAACTTTCCAAAGTTTCATGGCAATCGTACTATGCCAGAAACCTGCACGGGAGTATACTAAGCAACTTCCCAAAGTTTCATGGCAATCAGATAAACGGTGTGGTAATGCATGAAGGACATAAGACAGACACACATTCATTTTTATATATATAGATTAGAATTGCAGTAATTTTGTTCCTAGGACTATTTTTAGATGAAAATTATATTTTATATAAATTTAATGATTTATTGCATTACTTCCATTAAAAATAAAACATTATCTAAACTTTCAATAAAAACAGAAAAAATACATGATATTAACTGCAAACAATAAATATCACACCCACACATTAAATATAATACACTCATTTCCTGTTTAACAACTATTCCAAGAATAAATGTTCATTATAACTATAGTTGTCATGTAAAATCTTAATTTTAAAAACAATTTAGTCACAGATAAACAATAATCACAGTCTGCTAGCTAGATGTAGTTTAGATCTTACAAATAATTTTAAAAGAATAATTCTCATTGAGGACTATTTTTTTAAAAATCTGAAATAAGGATTTTGGAGGTTTTTGATACTTCATTGACGACATGATTTCAAAAGACATTTATAAAAGAACTAAAGCTGAGAGAGTAATCTAAGACATCTTATATAGAGAAATTTATGTAGAAAAATAACACAAAATTGCTTAAAAATAAAAAGCTTGATAAATCCCAAATACTACAAACTTTGATAGTTAAGATACTCCAGTATCTTAACTATCAAAGTCTAATAGCATTAAAGAAATTGTAGCTGAAATCAAAAAGTCATAGAAATGAGAATTTTAAATAAAATTTAATAATAAAAATGCAATCAATGTATTACAATAAAGCAAAATAATAATTTAAGTAAATATAAATAATGAAACAATCATCAAATTTCATTTTATCATCATATAAATATTTTTTATTACATTTTTATATAATAATAAACAAAAAAATTATACTGTTACATTTATTGTTTAAAATTTTAATTTTTTAAATAAAAATTTTGAGATTCATAACATACATGTAATGTTTGACTAGGAAAAAATTGTATCAATGAAAAAATTTATTCTTTTCTTGAATAGATCAATTGTGGTTATTAAAAAGAAATAATGATCAATTTTTCTCAGTTTGGGTTCAAACTGAAGAAATGTTAGGAATTTCGAAAAAGAAATGCATAATGAAAGCCCATGGAGATAATGAAAGACTTATTAGACAATGTACATTTGTATGTCATTCACAACATTAAGATCATATAGCTACTAATAATGCCTAACAGTTTGCAGCTGCTTCACTCCAAAGCTTTTTAAAAAAATAAGTAATTGCTAGTATTTCATTCTATTTTTGATTTACTTTTTTATCTACTAATAAAACACATATTTTAAAGTAAAAGTAAAAACGTTTAGCTCAACTTTGGTGGAGATAGGGCATAGACAATTAAAGTTCTGCAGTTGATTGCATATTTTTTGGGATCCATGTATTAAAACAAATTGAGAATTGTTGTAGATGATGTAGTAGTAGTGATGGATTTATTTGTCTGTCCACTTCACAAGTAGAAAGGTTCATTCTATTCCAGCAAATTCCTGAAAACTTTTTTATAGATTCAAGAAGAAAGTTGATTTGATTTTTATAAAATTTAAAGTAAGACATTTCCATTGTTTTATTGTAATATTAATGAGTTAAGGGAGTAAGTTAATTTTAATAAAAAAATTTTTTTAGCTCAAAGTTTATCGTGGTTCAGAGTTGTCCACTACTATTTACAAAAGGGCACCATATTGAAAGTTAAAAGACCTCAAAAAATGCTTTAAATCTGCCATGGTCTAGAAGAATAAACAAATTTTTTGTTCAGTGAGCCAAATCAAGGATTTTTAAATTCTTACAGGGTCACATTAACTGTTAAAAGCAATAAAAAATATTCAAACTAATAAACAAAATATATTTATTCAAATATTAAATTAATAGTATTCCTACAAGATATTCTTTGGTAGCTATGCGATTCAAATTTTATAATATTGAATAATAAAATTTAGAAAGAACAACTTGCTAATTGACATCAATAAGATGTACTTAAGCAAAATCAATTTCCCCACACAAAAATTTAAAAATATTGCATCGAAATGCAAAAACATTTGAATTTCACTCCCCTATATAACAACATACTACTACAGAAACCTAAAAACAAGCAAATTTTTTTAAAAATGCAAACTTTTTAGGTTTTTGCAGTTTGTTAATTCTAAGTTAACCAGTTATAAAGTAGCAGTTGTTCTATATAATATTTGCCACTGAATGAAAAATGCTTACATAAAAAATTTTCTTCCAAACCTCCCAGACTATAGTTTGCCCAATCTGATCTAGAACCTAGCATTTTACTCAATATCATCATCGTTCTTGAAACTGTTGAGTGTTAACCAACAGTTCTAACTTGTTTTAAACTTTCATCTATTTAAGATGTAGCCTAAAAATTAATTAATCTCTGCAAAATAAAAAAAAATGTAAGTTCTTTTTTAAATATTTATACTTTCAGAATAAGTTATATTCTTAATTTTCTTTTTTGGAAGTTTATTACAGACAGCAGGGAAAAAAAATTCAGTAATGCTTAAAACATTTAATTTCAAAAAAATAATAATAAATAAATAAAATTTTAAAAAATTTAAAACGTTTTTACTTTAAAAAATTTCCAAGTTTCAAAAGATTTCATAANACGTGATTTATCAAACAAATCAACTTACAAAAGACGTTTCGATTAAGAATAGTATATTTATTTTACAAGAAATTAAACACCATAAACGTCATATGTGGTTGGGCCCCCTAATGACTTTTTATCAGATTAAAATGAAATCCGATTATGTAAATCTTAAGTCATTTACAGATTAAACAGTTTGTTATCAGTTTTTAAACATTCAGTGTATTGACACAAGTAAAAGGAATGAAGAAAATGGGAATTCAAAACGTATTTTGACGTGCTATTTATCATAGAAATTCCAACTTAAGTGACTAAACTCTAACAATCATCCCTAAGGCTTAGTTTACTTTTTTTTCCACAAATGACTATTTAAATGATTTTAAAGGGTTTTCAAAGCATTTCAAATCTGCAAATATACGATTTAAATGAATTTAAGTAAAACATTTCGTTATTATTTAAAACATGTAATTAGTGTTAACAAAAAAGAGTTGGTATTAAGATAATAAAATAATAATAGAGGAAAGAGTTTTCTAACCGTCATTTCTCGATGTAGGTGTTCCAGCATGTGAAGAGGTAAACACATCATTAAAAAAACAAAAAATAAAACCGTATCTATTAAAAGAAAGTAAATTCTCCTCCAACTTAACTATTTTGATTCCGACTTTAAAACTAATGACGTCATGGGTAACCAATGATTGAATGAAAAGACACCACCTAGAGAAAATCGTTTCACTGATGTTTTTTCGAAAAATCAATTTTCGAAAATATAACTTTAATCGCGAATTATTATGTAAAATAATAAAACAATAAATCGTTAAAATATTTTCTATTTGTTATCTTTTAAATTTATTTCCGTCTCTCTTTTTGATATATATACTGTATATCAAAAAGAGAGACGGAAATAAATTTAAAAGATAACAAATAGAAAATATTTTAACGATTTATTGTTTTATTATTTTACATAATAATTCGCGATTAAAGTTATATTTTCGAAAATTGATTTTTCGAAAAAACATCAGTGAAACGATTTTCTCTAGGTGGTGTCTTTTCATTCAATCATTNTATTTGATCATCAGAATTAATTCTTTATTTCTGCATTTGTTGTTTGTTGTTTAACTTTTGGATTTGTGTCCGAAAGTTAAGCAACAAAGTGAAAAATTTACAATTTGATGAAAAAAAACGAAATGTAGTTGAAAATTTTGCATGCATGACAGGGATACGCAGGCAGAAACTAGGCCACAGAAAAAATTCTGCATATCAACATTTTTAACAAGGAAATGTGGCAAGTATAAAAACAGTCTGTTTTGTACAGATCCTCTATCTCCTACGGACTCCAGAAGGAAACCGAGATAGTCAAATTTTGAAAAATGAGTAGACGACATCATCTGAGTGCCGGTAGACAATGGGAGACAACAGGGTTCTCCCATTGGATCCCAACAACAGTCCCGAAGGATCCCAGCAACAGTCGGAAGTAGCCTGAGTCCTAAATGTCAGTCGTTCCGTCATTTGCCGCCTGTGAAACCGATATCAAAGCGAAGGAACAGTGGACCACTAAGTGGACGTCCAAGAGTCACAATCTCTCAGGATAACCGTTTTTTGTCTGCAAGCACGATGCTATAGGTCAATTACTGTACATCAGCTTGTTTCGGACCTTTCAGCGTCTACAGGAAAAACGGTATCTCGGCAAACTGTTTACAGACAGCTACATGCAGGCCAGCTGTATTCAAGCTGACTGGCGATTTGAGTCCCACTGATGCCCTCACACAGACTGGCCCAGTTAAATTGTGCTCGCGATCATCTCAATTAGGTCTCCACAACAATGAGGTGCTATGCTCTTCACGGATGAGTCACGGTTTGATCTACAGAACTGTTATTGGTTTGGAGAACTCCTAGAACTGGCTTTTTTTTAAAAACTCTTTCTGTCCTGTGGTCACTAAGAAGACCTCTTTAAGCAAGCCCATTATGGGTTCGGCTAGGCCCACAATGGAGTGGCCGGGTAGTCAGGGACGGGGCCCGACATATCCGGATGGACCACCCCCGAAAAAATTCCTGGGGATTTCTCAACCCGTTCAGATTCGATCTCAGGTCTCCCCGAGCGGTAGGCTGCCACCTGGACCGCTCGTCCATCCGCCCGTCAATCCTAGAACTGGCTATCTTGCCAGTAACATTCACGAAATGCACACATACAAAGGTGATGGTTTGATGTTTAGGGCAGGGATTGCTGTCAGCAGCGCACTAATCTTTGTATCTTCCCTCGCGGCAGTGTGACAGTAGTGCGATAGAGAGTGCATAATGTTTGCCCATATCTTATAGACATTGGCCCTTATGCCATTTTTATGGACGATAACGCGTGAGTTCATAGTGCTCACATTGTCGGCCAGTATTTAGCATAGGAACACACTGCTTCGTATGGAACGTTTAGCGTGATCACCCGACTAGAATTTCATCGAACTTGTATGGGACATGCTTGGAGACGTTTTGTTTTTCTTCACCCTCGGAACTTTTACGAGCTAAGAACATATATGTTCCATTCTATGAATGGGCAGATATCCAGTGCCGGATTTACCTACAGGCCGACTAGGCCGCGTCCTAGGACTTCGCGATTCTAGGGGCCCCAAAACTATTAATATGTTTTCAACTTTTATAAACTTTTACTAAGAAAAAATAAGAGCCATTTCTGAAAGATCTAAAAGAAGACGCAGCATATTTGAAAATCTGTTAAGATGTCCAATTTCGAACATTAGAGTGGTTGCGGCCGAAGTTTTCAACGCGAAAACGTAAACGTCGGACGTTCACGTTTTCGCGTTGAAAACTTCGGCCGCAACCTTGCTATTAATTTGAAATTTTTGAATGTTTTTTCGAACTTCTTTCTTGTGTGTTTACATTCTGGAGAAAAAATAATACTTCTATTTGGACTTCAAGTAAAAGTATTAATTTTCGAAAAGTTTCAAATTTTGAAGCTTTCACGAGGTTGATGATATTTTCAGTTATTAACAAAGAAATTACTTTAAAACAAAGGCACAGCGAGAATTTATAAAAATCTTTATGTGAATAAATCAAAATTAATTTCAGAGATTATTATTTTTAGGGTTCCAAATCCTTGCTCGTTCTAGGGCCTCCAAAACTGCAAATCCGGCTCTGCAGATACCCAAACCGCCATAGATGGTCTTATTCTTGGCATCAATCGATGCTGTAGGAAAATTTTCCAGCAAACATTTGGTATTGAGAGACCACCAATGAACTTCTTGCCTCCTAAAAGTCTATATTTTTGTTTACCTCTATTATTTATTTACTGATCAATTTCTTTTACATTTCCCCACGCTAGTGTCTTTTGTTACACTCTATGTGAAAGTTTCACTGATTTGGAATAAATGTTTTTCTTTTTATTTATTCTGTTGCTTAACTTTTGACGTGATTTATCAAACAAATCAACTTACAAAAGACGTTTCGATTAAGAAATCATTTATTTTTTATGTATAATCTAAATTATCGTTACGAAAATTATATATTTTTTATGAAAATTTTTTTATTTTGATGATATGAAACCGTGCTTTGCAATTTGTTTATGCTTCTAACACAATAAAGTGCTATAAATTAAGACACTTGGCGGGTTTTCTCATCTTTATTTAGTTGAGAAATTTATAATTTAAAATTTTTTAAACAGATAAATACCGCGAATAGATATTTAGACATAAGAATGCAACTTTTTAAAAAACTTTTTTCGCCGTGTGGGCATTTAAGAGGGTATGTTTAGTAGGCCTATTATGTTCGGTATTCGCCGTTTCCCGATTCTTGTCTGTAAATCGTGCCGAATCAAAGGAGACGAATATTCGCTTCAACGCATTCGCGTATTTTTTCGTCATCAGTATGGCTATTTTAGTCTTTTTAAAACTAGATCTAGTGTTTTAGTTTTAACTTTAGTTTATTTTTTTCGATTTGGTTTACAGTGTAAATATTTTTTTCTATGTGGTTTTTTCTGATTTTTTCGCAATGCGGTTTTATTGTGTTATTTTTTTAAAAATTCCTTTTATTTTTATGTTGACATTTTTTGCGTTGGTGAAGTAATATCATTATCTTCTTTTACGCTTTTTTTCATTAACAGATATGAACTACTCGTAACTATAAAAGCAGCGGCACAAATTATTGTTTGAGAATTGTCCATTTCCTAAATTTCGAACGAACATTCGTCATTCCGGATGTGGACACGGTCTAATATTGATGGTCATAGACAGCTCTGCAAAGAGCTGCCTGCCATACATTCTTTTGACCCCGTTAACATCAAATAGAGGTCCTGTTAAGGGATTGTAACTTTTAGACGTTTATTTCCTGGTTGACGTCCAACATCTCTTATTCTTTCAACTTGAATAGAAAGCTTGTATAAGACATTCTGTAATATACAGTACTCTATTTAGAGTCCTGCAAACATTGTTTGAGACTTGCCTGCTTCCAATACTTTTTCTTCGTAAGATCATCTATGTGACGTTTTTGTGACCTTATCACTGTCAATATCATATAGTAAAACAGTAACAAACTATCCTCGAAGGTTAAACCTCACCAAAAACAATGGCATGCTATTATTCTATTTAGTGTTTTTCAGTGGCGTGCTGTCCTTGGAAGCGGTGGAAGCGTCGCTTCTCTTTTATTTTCTAAAATATAAATACATATTGTGCGATTATTTTCATATTTTGACGTACTTTGAATTAATTAAAATTAATATTTTATTATAATCGCATTCTTGTATTTTATTACAAATTTCTATACTACATGTGAAAAAAACCGATAAAATTGCTATTGTATATTCGAATATCAGTAGCGGAAGGAAAGTTCTGTATTGTCGAATACGGGACAGCTTACACGGCAAAAATATCTGAATTGTGTAAAGCAGCCAGATTATACGCATTCGCGCATGCACTTTACAGAACACCAACCTCACGCGATTTAGCTGGTAGAAGCTACACACCAAAATATCGTATAACGCTTCCAATGACTTTATCCAGAACCGGTTCTGGGCTGTTAGCCGCCTGCCTGCTAGCTATTTAGCCGTCATCACCCCTATTATGTGAATCGAGAGTAGATTATTAACTTAACCCAATCGATAGAAATTTACTGGTATGTTTTTATGATAATTCTGTATAGTTGACAGGAGTATTTAAAAATCCATTAAAATATTTGATATATTTATTCTGCTCTTCCATTTTGTATCACTTACAGATTTCAATGTGTAAACTACTTATGCAGTGGTGCCTCGTATAACGTACTTAATCCGTTCCAGGTGCACGTCCGTTAAGTGAAAAGTCCGTTATACGAAAAGCATTTTCCCATAGAAATACATGTTAAAACATATAATTCGTTCCGCAGCATAAAATAACCGTACTGTACCATAATGAAAATGGAGTAGTCACCAATTATGCCGGGCAGTCAGATGTTGTGAGGAGGACGTGGAGGAACACTTTCTTCACACATTCATACAGATACAGACTTTTTACACATTGCAGCAAGCCTCTTTTTATTGTTTTTTGATCCTGTTGGCCTCAGCTGTGTTTGGATAGTGAGTGTTCGTAAACTCCTGAACCTCTCCCCATTTGATAAAGTTTTTGTCAACTTTCACTCCTTCTGATGATTTCTTGCTTTGTTTCAATTGAAATCACCTTTCTGTTTTTTAGAAGCCATGATTTGCAAAACACTTGAATAAATGTAAATATCCTGCACTGAGGTGATGTATGTAATAAACAAGGGAGCAAGTCGAATCCCAAAGGGAGCTCTGTGCTTCAGATATACTAATAATATATTCTAATAATACTTATATATTATAAAAATAGCAGATTGTCATTAGCAACGGCAAAAGAGTGGAAACATCATTCGCACTTGTTCGCAGGAAGTCCTTTGTTCGCCTCACGTAACTGCCGAAAGGAAAGTCCGTTGTTCGCAGCCAGTCCGTTGCTCGAGTCACGTAACGGCCAAACAGAAAGTCCGTTGTTCGCAGCGTCCGTTATTCGAGGCGTATGTTATACGAGGCACCACTGTATTAGCATGTCCCATCTATAAGGGGATACAGAATAAAAACGTGTCTAATTCTTGAACAATATTAAAAAATTAACTGATACTTTGGCAGCATCATTTACAACTAAATGTAATGAATGAGACGCACAAGGTACAAAAAAGCTCTAGAATTTATTTTCCTTAAACTTACGATTTGTATATCCGTTGTCATAAAAATTTGTCTTTCCGCTTATTTCCCAAGACTACAAATATTTAAGTTCAAAGTAACCGGTTTCAACTTATTTCTACTCAAGAAGTAGTTATTTAATTAATTAACAGCTTTGGGAATTAGGGACATAAATAAAACCCTGCTGAAAGAGCTGGAATTTTACTTAAACAATCTCTAGCCAAGTACAGTGGGGACTGATTTCTTCGTAATATTAGATGTAATAAAGACAGAAATTTTTCTAGTTCAATGAGAGTGACCGAAAAGTTGTAAATTTTGGAAATATCCGTGGACACCTGGTCTTAAAACGAATTAGAAAACAAATGATGGACAATCTATTAACATTAGTAAATAACATAAAATATATATTGAAATTATAACAAGATAGTTACGGCTAATAGATATATCTAAATTAATAAATGTTATGTTTTTTTATCAAAGCAAGAATTGGCATTTAGAGGACTTAGGGAATCTATTGAATCTAATAACAGAGGCAATTATATTGAATTTGTTTATTTATTAAATACGCCAGATAATCTATTAAAAATACATTTAGAGAAGTCTACGGTTTTTACTAGCTTATCGAACAAACGAATACGAATGGACCTTAGAGGGCCTAGACACGCAATTAACTGATTGCCCCTGGAAGTCGGTTTCTTACAGAAACACAGCTTCCCTATTATCAAATGTCACGGCACGTCACTGGTGTTTTTTATTTTAAACTCTTTTAACTCTGTGAGCACTACGAGGCCTTTTAATTACACATATCGTGGATTCTGCCAGGCCAACAATGGGGATGCCCAGGTAGTGAAAGTCGGGACGCGACTAACCGTCTATTAAAATTTTTGAGTGGTTGCTTTCCTGGATTTGATTCAGAGTCCTCAGAGCGGTAAACTGACATATTACTATCTCGGTCATTCCGTCTTTGATTATTTTTTGCCATTTCAACATAAGTTGGCAGTTGTCAAACCACTTTTCAACCAGTTGTAGGGAGAGGCAGCTTTATTAGTTGTAAATACAGTGGCGTAGCGTGGATGTCAGCCGCCCGGAGCGGAGGAAAATTTCGCAGCCCCCTTATTTAGGTATCTGAATTTAAAAGACTAAAATTCAATTTTGTCACAGAATAAGTAATGAAAAATTCCGTGCTCATTTCAATCGGTTCGAATCGTAGATGCAACAAAAATATGAGATGAAATGGTTCAAATTTTTACAAGATATTATTATTATTTATTGTGAAATTTTGCTGCCTCTTCTACGCTACGCCACTGTGTAAATAGTCAATTATTTATTCAGCCCTGGGACATTGGATACCTTTTTCCCCTATGAATAGTTTAACTTAAAAGTGGTTTGTTTAGATCAGTAGTTCTTAACCTTTTTAGTGTTCAGCACCCCCTGAATCTGAAAATAAGCTCTTGCACCCCTTAAAAAATGTGTGCATATTTTTTGTTTAAGAAAAAACATTTATTGCATAAACAAATGCTGTGTTTATTTACAATATATATTACTATATAACATAAAAAGTAATATTTAAATTTTAATGGCTAGGTTGTTGATGTTTATACATGATAATTCTATTAAAACGAAGCCCTTTTTGAAAGAGCCACGCGTGAAAAAAAGCGAAATTCAACCGCCATCTTGGTGTGCTCATTTCGTTCCTCGATTTCAATGATTTTAAGTAACTCTTCCCTGGGACTTTCGTCGACTTTACTGCGGTTCCTTATTCTTTAGCTTCTGGTTTTCCTCTTTGGTCTTTTCTCTACCCAGGTAGGAGTTTTCCTCTTTCTTTCAGCCGGAGTGGCTTCTCCTCCGGACTCGGTCATGGCGTCGCCGTCGCGCGAGCGCCTTCAGCAGCCACCGTCGGGATCGGAAACACTCCTAACTTCCGGCGAATTAAAATTTATTTCTCCTCTGTCGGAATTGGAGAAACTCTTCTCCATCCGTTCGTCCCTCCCTTCGGACCAAATCTATAAGATTTTTCTGGAAGGACAGGGACCTCTCCGACGTCTTCGTCCGTCTGAGCTCCACGCAGCTTCAAACCGCATTTCCCCGATCGGAATTGCTGCAAGATGTCCGTTACTCCCGTAATGGTCTTCTAATAATCAAAACTCGGGATCACCAGGACGCAGAAGCGGCTTTTCGTATTCCTGATATTGCCGGGATACCAGTCCGTGGCCGTCTGGTCCCGGACTGTGCCCACACCGCTTATCTCCTTCGTGGGGTGGATCCGTCGATCACAGCCCAAGAAATTTACGATATCCTCTCGGACTCGCGCCTTCCAATCCTAGAGATACGTCGTTTCACACGACGGGACGGGGATAATATCGTGCCTAGCTCCACTGTTTACTTCTCTGTGGCCAGCGCCTCCCCGCTGGAATCCGTTACTATCTATTACCAACGTTACCACTGTGAGGGGTATATTCCTCGCCCACGCCAATGCAGGCGATGCCTCAATTTTGGCCACTCTCCCACCACATGCCGCGGCCGCCGCAAATGTATTACTTGCGGGCTGACCATGACCCGACCACTGCCGGCCGCAACGCACTCAGCCGCTGCGGCCGGCTGTGTGCGTTGCGGAGGAGAACATTCCGCGGACTCCCCCCGCTGCCCAGCCTATCAGCAAGAGGCACGCCTGTTAAAATTCAGCGTCATCCAGCGCTGTTCTTACCTAGAAGCCAAGCGCTCGCAAAGCAACTCCCCAAAATCATATACAAGAGTAGCTTCACCCCCCCCAAACTGCCCAAGAGGACCCTTCGTTGTGAAAGCAGACAGCTCTTTCTACTATTGGACAGACAGATGACATTCTGACCCTAACCAATCGTATTTCCCAATTGGAATACATAGTGGAGAAGCTATGCACGGTGTTAAGTCGTCTTCGCTCAATTATTCAGCTTACCCCGCTTAACCCAATTCAGGGTTCCCTTCGTGAGCCGAGTCTGGACAAGGATCTGATTATGCCCATGTCACATAAGAGCTCTTCCCACCAGCTGTCAATTCATTTAAATCAGGTTTGTAACTGCTGCATGCTACTCATAAAACGGCATCCAAGTGTGAATTAGTAAGCCAGTTTCTATATATGTTCTTTGCATATTTAATTTTTGAGTATGACGTTTCACATAGATACGTTGATGCGAACAACGTAAGTAAAATTTGAGCACATTTTTTACAGTCTTATATTGATCGGGCACTATTTTCCAGAAGTGGTAATTATTTCCAGAAGTGAACGTAATTATTTTCCGTTGTCTTTCACGTCCGGGCCACTCACAAAAGCTCAGCGGGCCGCAGGTTGAGTATGGTGGGGCTAGAGTCTCCATATTAATAAGACAAGAAAGAAAGAAAGAAAGAGCCACGCGTAAGTCATCAGATGCATTTAATAATTCAATGAGCCGTAATATAGTAAATTATAGTTATGACTTATAACTCACATTTTGATTTAAAATTAATAATTAATATTTTAATTTTAAAAAATATCAAATTTTTATAAAATCAGTTTTCATTTTTTAATAGTTTGAGCCAACCTCTGACCACAAGTATGTAGAGGGCGCTCTTCTTATCATATGATTTTCTTCTCGTCAGCCTTCCTAAGGAAACTTAATTTTTACGTGATTTATTCTAATTCGTAATTATTTCTACGTATTAGGATTACAAGTACAGTTTAATAACTTGGGTATAACTTGATTTATATATTTATAAGAATAATATTTTAGATTTATAAGTGAATTACAGAAAGGTTGTGATGTAGGTATTTTTGATGTTACTTATTTGTTACCTCTTTTCAGTTTACTTTAAAAATATTCATAGTGCTATTTTACAAGATTTGGGATACCTTTAATTTACATTCAATAAATTAAGTAATCAAAGAATTTAGTTGAAAGATAGATCAAAGTACACATATTACACAAAGATTTATCGAACTTATCAATACAGGCAAACCCTCGACTTTAGCACATAATTGGTTCCTGAAAGTGTGTGTGAATGTTGAATGTTTGGAAGTAGAGAAATGTAAAAAAATATGCACCAAAAACTGTGTTTAAAATATTTATTCCTTAATTTTACTGTTATTTTTCAAAATTGCACATATTGTAGATATGTTTACATCGTACGAATGTTTGATTGAAGCAAAAGATTCACCATTTTCAGAATGTTTAATTAATTCCATCTTTGTCTCGATCGTATGAAGTTTATGAGTCCTTAATTTCTTTGTTTGTATCAACACTGCAGTTTTTCTGTTTCTCACTCATGATTATCAATTTATAAAGATGAAATATTTAAACCAGGGGTCTCTAACCTTTTTGTTCCTCTGGGCCACATTGGAAGAAGTCATGGCGTTTTGGGCCACAAGTATATATAATATATTTGCAATCTAATACTTAAATATACAAGTATATTTAAGGATTAACATGTCTAGATTATAGTAATAAGTATTAAAACTTTATTACAAAAAATGATATTTTAAAAAATTACTTCTACAGACACTTTCAATTTTTACTTAGAAATAGATAAATTCATTTATTATAAAGGAGACAAACAAAAATTTATTTGAAAAACATAAATATTTGTTTTATTTGGATCTCTAATTAATAAAAAAAAAAGACGAAACATCATTTTAAAGTGCATTTTTCAACTAATATATCAGTATTTATAAATAATATATAGCCCAAAAAGTAGCCAATGTGCCAAATGATAATTTTTATGCCAAACTAAAAAAGGGTAGCCAAATTTGGCACAAAGTAGCCAAATCTTGCAATGCTGGAAGGAATACTAAATAATGCTGGAGTTGGAACTCAAAGGATTATAGACCCAAATTTGAGAAAAGGAGAGAAAGGCCAAAAGATAAAAAGTAGTGAGGACGGTTGGAAAATTAAGGGTCAATATTTGCATAACAGAAGATCTATTTAACCTTTCTCACTGCTTTTTATATTTTGACCTTTCTCTCCTTTTCTCAAATTTGGGTCTATAATCCATTGAGTCACAACTCCAGCTTTATATAGTATTCCTTCGTCATTCATACATCTCCAAGTATTTGAAAATGTTTCCTTTTCACTCAAAAATAAAATATGTATAAAAGTTTATGGCTTTGTGAAACTTCTTTTTTGAGTTTATGCCGTTGAAATAAAAAAAATAAATAAAATAAACCAATTTGTTGGTTTTGTTTCCACATTTATTGGGCTGTGGGTTGGACACCCCTGATTTAAACATAAACAAATAAATTGGCAAAACACACATGTTGATGCATGCCTTAATTCAAGACTGAAACTGTTTTGAACTCTTGCTCGGACAAACAGTAGTGATTAGGATCCCGAAAAGTCCGCTATTGTAGGAAGTAATGTGTGGCAGAGAACGTAGAGTGAGTTACCACACTTTGTAGTATATGAGCATTCTGCATGGAAGGAAATTTTTTCATTATTGACAAAAATATTTAAAAAGTTAAATTTTTAAAAATGTGTGAAATAGCGAATTGTGCGAAAATCGAGGGCCGCCTGTATTTAGACCAAATTGTCTAAATATAGATAATTGCAAAATAATCTTGAAATGATAAAAGTCAAAACTAAATAAAATTTTGGTTAAAGTGTATCCAGGTAACCCCAATGGCAGTGCTTCGGTTAGGTTAGGTTAGATTAATTATATTTTCAATAGACATTTCCTTTTTTTTTTTTCTTTGTTTGTTTAAGAACTACTGTGAATCAATAACTAGTGACATTAAACACTAGGCAGCCTGCCAGTGGGTCCCCTCTGGTAGGAGTCCGTCAGGAGCATAAACAGTCAGAAGCACCACCATTGGAGTTACCTAAGTACACTTTAACCAAAATTTTTATCTGTTACATTGTTAATCTTTCAACAGTGGACTAGTCGGGTATGGTTCTACCCCCCAGTAGTGGTGAATAAATGTGGGAAATTTTTAAAGTATTTTTCCACGTGTTTTTTTTTTCATTACTGTTTTGGAAAAAGATTTTGTAAATAGTTATGTCTAGTAAAGAAAAGTCTTTTTTATTGTTACATAATTCATTTTTTATGTGAATTTTTTTTCATGGTGATTTTAGGCTAGTTTTTGGTGATATCCCCCAAAAGAATTTGATGACTATAGTTGTCCCTCACCTCTACACGATTGCCCTTGACGACTATAGTCGTCACTCACTGCTGAGTGGTTAATAAACTAATTTCTTAGATATGAAGATGATGAGTTTCTTTCAGGCCCACAGTAGAAAGGCTGGGTGAAGGATGTGGTCTGATAGATTTGTGACAAGTTTCTGTATGCTTTCAACTAAGTTGACGATGATGTAGACAATGTTATGTCACAAAAATCATGATAGGTGAACCACTGAAGACTTTACACGCAATATAGTTCCATCAAAAAATTTACTTAAGGGAGTTGTTACATTATGAAGTTATTCATAATAAGCAATACAATAATACTTTGTTTATTTTTAAACTAACATACGAAAACTAAAAAAGAGTACATGCTAATAAAAGTTCAAATCATGACAGAGTGGGAAATTTAGTTCTGTTCAAGATTGCTGAGTGTGAAGTATTGTTTGCTGAGCACAAAAAAGGCAAGTATAAAAGATTGTTTTGAATGTTTATAACAGTTTTCCTGTGGTTTATTGTGAATAATTTCATAATGTAAATCTTCTGTAAATGAATTTTTTGATAGAACTGTATTGTATGTAAATACTAATATATTGGCATTCTTCAGTAGTTCACCTATCACAATGAATTTTATGATGTCATGTTGTGTCAAAATCACCACTTGGTGATATTTTTATTGAAGTGGTGATGAAAATATAATACTGGTGATAAAACCGTCCACTTATTTCAACATTCAGAAATTGAATCACAAAGTGTGCTTCAGGAAAAACAGCAGAACGTTGAGCTTCTGTGAGATGGGTATCCTGTTCACCATGTACCTTATCAATGTCATGACATCACATGATAAGTTCAAATAGGAAAGCGTTGAAGTGACGTTGAGAACCAAAGGCAGTTTTTATGCAATGCTGTCCAGCATCTACAGATTTGGGATTTTTTTTATTGACTGACAGAAAATTTGGGGAATTTTTTGGATTGACTTTTATCTTTTATCAGTATACTAAAGTATAAAAATTTTGATATGACATAACGTGTGAAATACTGTTTAATCATTGTGATCAAATGTGTTGGTTGGAATTACAGTAAAGCATCAATTATCCAAATACTGATTAACTAAAACATTGGTTAACCAAAATTGTTCCAGTCAGAAAATTCAAATTTCTGCTAGTGCTGTGGTGCCACAGCACTTTTTTCCTCCCTGCCAACCTAAATTGTAGACCTACTTTAATGTACTATTTTATTTAAGATATGTATTTGTAAGACATGTGATACAAAATATATTAAACACAAAACTGTACTGTATACATTTTGTAACTATACTTTTGTAACTAATCATTTACAAAAGTAAATGATTAGTTATCCATATACCATATTATTTCAAACAATCCCAGTCCTGAATTGTTTCAGATAATTGATGCTCTACTGTATTCATTAAAAAGTTATTCAAAAATGATTCTTATTTTTAAATGACAGCTTAACATGTTACTTTTGCTTTTCAGACTCCAAGGTGATAAGGCTAATTAATAAGTAAAATTGATGGTGAAAAAAAATTAAAACTGACAAAATGATTGGGATTTTTATTTTTAAAATTTTTCAGGCTGATCCCTGGTTGTCTGTCATTATCAGCTTGAGACAGAGTATAGAGTTGTTCACTCAGATTTGATTCTGGGACACCCAGAATGGGAGGCTGATACCTTAACTGCATTGTCCATTTGACTGGTTAATAGGGTTGCCAACTTTCAGAGTAACAAAGTCTGAACATAATGTGGTTTTTTTTACCACACTATCTTCAAAAAAGTGATGAGCAAAAGAAAATCTACAATTGAACATATTTTTTTCCTGTTCTTTGATGATGATGGTGATAATGATGATGATATTGGATGGCCAAGAGAATTAAGATGTCAGTCTATTGCTTTGGGGAGCTGGGATCAAATCTGGGCAAGCAACCCCAGGAATTTTTCATGGGAAAGCTATTCCAGATGTATCAGGAACTCATCCATCACCATTCCGTCACTTTTATTGTGGGCTTCCTTGGTGTGCACAGACCAAAATAATAATAATTGTAAATTGGCAGGAATGGAAATAATTTGATTACAGTTAGGAATGACAACTAATGAGGAAAAAAGATGAGCTAAAAAACCTCATTCATTTTTCAGAACATTTCTGAACATTTAAAAAAAAATAATGGAAATTCTATACGGTTGTAAAATTTTGAACAGTTGACAATTCTTCTGGCTAAATATGAGTTTATAAGTCGAACTATTATCTACTACATACGTTGCATTAAAAAACCAAAACAAAATGTTTTATTTGGAGTTGGAAGAATTGAAGCTGTTCGAAGTTTAAAAGATTATTTGGAGGAGAATATTTTTTTAATATATTCAAATACTCATTATCAAACATTTAAAAAAATTTCTTTTGTAGGTTTGATGGATGTTACTTTGTAAGTGTCCAGATTTATGTTTATAGCTAATGAGATAAATCCTTTCAAACTTAATCAAATATGATGGGTATATTTCCTTGTAAAGTTTGTAGAAGTTACTGTACTTCAGTGATGTCAGTTTAAAGGAAAACCTCTACTATTTCTGCTTTACTGTTTGTAAATGTTAATTTTTTTTATAAATTAAAATGTTTATTCAGAAATCATGCAAAAC